GGAGGCAGGAATGGCTGTAATTCTTTCACAATGGACCAAGAAAGTATTATTCAAGGGGTATCGACTTCGTTATTGTTATGTCTGCCAGCGTGTAAAAAATGGCACCCTTGAAGCGAAGGACCATAAATGTTGGATGAATTGGCCACATGCTCAGAGTATTCTAGGCACGGAGAGTGACATAATAGTGGAAGGCTTTTCGAAAAGCCTAGAGCAGCATGGACTTATCTATTCGCAAATGGTGGCTGATGGAGATAGCAGCATATATGCACATATGCGAAACAGGATATTGAAAAAATTCAGAAAGTAGTAGAATTGAAGACAGATATGCTCAATGTAATCGACCATGTTTTTGGAAATCATGTCAACTGTGCAGCTTACTTTTGCGACGGGAGGAATAAATCCGACAAAATCGACCTACTTCCTCTCCTTCATAACTATGACCTGTATGAAACGGTAAATAAAATAATGGAAAATTGGAGCAGTAATGCGATCGATTTATTAGCCGGAGAAACCGCTAACTTGGCGGAGGGTTTCAATTCTGTGCTAGCAAAATTCAACTACCATAAAGGTGTTAATCTGCAGTTAAGGGGCAGTTACCCCGCTCGCATTTCTATGGCTGCGATCCAAGCAAGTAATCAAGCACACGGGAGCATTTTTCACGAGAAGTCAGGAAAACACGTTCCTCAACAATTACTCGAAATGGAGCGGAAAAGACAAGCAAAAAATCAATACAATCGCAAATATAGGAAAACGAAGAAGTATTCGCAATTAGCATCGGGTGAAACAGAATCAATGAAAAAATCCACTGATTACGGGAGAAATCCTCAGAAACCAGATATGCTTCCCAACCAGTATAAGTTGGCAGAAGAAGCACACTGGCAAACCCTTGCTAAGTGGCAGCTGAATCGTGAAGAAATTGAAAATAAGACACGAGACAATGCGAGTGAAACATCTATTAGAGATAAAAAACTACTTATGAGTCGGTTTTTCGGGCGTGTATTTCGTTTACGGCAAGGCACATCAACATGTGCAGCCATCAAAGAGATACTTTATCCACGTGTGCA